TTACTTTGGAAAATTTTTGGTAAAAGTGGGTCAACTCCAAGGTCAAAGTCACAAGGTCAATATTTGGTAGTACCCGAAGAAAGGTCCTTTCACAAGAAATATACCTGTGAAATATGAAAGTCATAGCCCCACCCTCTCAAAAGTTATGGCCAGGTTAAAGTTTCTACCGACAACCAGACAGACAGACGGACAGGACAAAAACTATTATTTCCCCGAATCTTCGAATTCGGGGCATCAAACCATACGACTTTTCAACACTTAATACACTCATTCCCCACGATAAATCAAGGTTAAATCAAGCTAGATAGTTTTTCAATCGTATTGCATCTCCTAAATAGACTTACCTTGTCACTGTTCATTTGCAGTATTAAATGTTAAAACACTCTGATTGCACACACTAGTGTCTGAAGTTGATTTTAAAAAGATGCTGAGTTTCCGATTAACAATTTATAAGTATCTCTTGGAGATCAGGTTTTCCATTTAACTTTCGAATTCCCATGGATACCATTTGCGCCTCGTTATTAGCAGTCTTATTTTTTGCATTAAATTCTCAATGATAACCATACAACAATTTTTTATGATAAGTAGGATGACTTCAATTATGCCATACTTGCATGTTTATAGAGATATAACTTTATTATTACCTGCATAGGGTTGTTAAATTCCAGTTGATTTGATGCACATGCTCTACGTAAGATCTATTTTATGATAAGACAAGCTATCAACCAATAAGTTGATGAAACAAGGATATCAATAGTCTCGTATAAAGTGATTATTCTGTAAGTTCTATGGTCGAAACAATATAATTTTGTCTATGAGAAGGTGAACTTTTTCTTATCTGCAAAGAATCATAAGAAAAAAAATTGGATACGTTAATATTTTAAAGAATCCTTGAAATGCATTTGGTAACTGGCGAAAATTTTACAAGCGCAAGCCTTTTTGCAGTGGTGTCTGTTGAGGAACGAATAACTCTGCCAAGGATATTGCAAATAAGCATCACTGAAACCGGAACTAACAGAGTAAAAACGAAAACATAACAGTTTTGAAATCCGTTTTGCACAATAAAATTACACCTCAAAACAAGGAAAAAATATAAACAATAGATAAAAACAAAATGTTAATCCATTTAGTCCTCAAAAGAATTAATTATGACGTTTCACACGTGTAGCAACACTCTCCCGGTTGCTGAGCAGTTTGGGTGCAATTCAGCGGAAGCGGAGGACATCGAACCCTGTCGCATGCCGCATGTGCCCCAGGAGGTGCACTTTCAGGACATTCACAAAATATGCATGGACTTACGAACTTTCTCTGACCATGTGGTAATATTTCTCCGATATCTGGACCAAAAATAATCTCACAACCATCTGCTTCATCATCGTCTGCCAAACAGCTGCCAATCACGACCAAAAACAACAGGAGTACATGTAGGCATTTCATTTTTCTCTGAAGCAAAACTATTGTAGTTGAATTCAAGAACATGTACATTATCATACCTATACACAACTGATCATGAACTGAAATTCTAAATGTTGCTTGTAGAACAATCATGGTACTTGCATTGCTAAATTAAAAACAAATTCCAGTGGGAGTAAAATTCCAGTGGGAGTATTACTCTATAGTAAATAAATTTCCCATTCGTTTATAAATTACTCGGTTTTAGCGTACGTCGATTTTAAAAAAACGACATATTTATAGTTTAAAACCCAGATAAATCATATTAAGCAAAAAAGAGGGTTAGACACCTGTATTCTCTCCCTTGTGCTGTGAGACCACCGTGAGTTTGGGACAGATTGTTTTGACATTTTTTCTTTATATATAACCCTCTAACTGCTCTGTAACATATGTTAAGATAATTCGTCAATATGATGGAACATTCAACTGTGACCCTGAATTTTTGACAAGTGACTGACCGTGAATCCATTACGTCCATTGTTTACATTGAGACGGACCTTTAATTACAACTTAATGTACTACCTTTCGATGCAGTATATTTAATTATACATGTAGTCATTAATAAAATTATTATATTCCGGTCATTTTATCAAGTTACATCAAAATAATTGCAACATATTTTACTTCGTTAATATAAATAAACCGTAGAATGTACAAAATTAATTCGCCATAAAAATCTACCAAAATTGAATGAATGAAGGGAATTTTGGTTTATAAATCATATTATAAAAATTACTATAGGCAAAGGATATAACATTTGTTGTTGAGTTAGTAAATTTTGGTTAAAATTTTGGTGCATTAATCTGAGTTGAAGAAAGATGAAGCGAATTAAACTTCATATAGTTACATTTATAGAGGTAGCAAACTTAATTTTTTTCACTCATTCATTTCAGGAATTCATTTTTAGCCGGGCTTATTGCTCAAAGAGCAATTGCCGGCTTATGTGATCCTGTTCAAGGCATGATGAACCCCATAGTCGCCATTTCAAAGTTACGTGCAAAAATATAAAGAGGCTCTCAACCGCTTTTGAGATAATACAAACGCTAAATAAAGCAACAAAAATAAAACGAAGTTTTATCTATATAAAATAAACATTAGTAGTAATGACTTTGAAAACTTCATAAGTTAAAGAACATAGTTCATTAGCGTAAGGATTTTTGATAATCAGTGTTACCGTAGTTCTCTACACATACGAGATATAGCAGGAGGGGGAACCAGACTGGCCTTTTTGTTTACATTCAGCTGCGGTACCAGATTAATTCTGATTCTGACAAAATCGGACCGTGGTAACTCACTGTCAGTGTCTTATCATTTATATTGATAGTTTTAAAATAATTTTTTCATCAGAATATAAACGTGATTCATGTAAGAAATCCATTCTACTCAAAATCATCTGTCTTCTGAGTACTTTGATTTGAAACTTAAAGACAGAGATTATCATTTTTGATGTTCTTAACAACGAAAATGATTTTAAACTAAATATACCATATCCATACTGTATTCCTTAAAAATTAATCATACAAGCAAAGATAGATAACAGGTTTCAGTGAATGTTCTACCTAGCCTCTTTCTTTACCCCTAGCCCAGATATTAACAGAATGAAGAGAATTAAAGGAGAAACTTCAGGAATACTGTGCAACAATATATTAGAAAAGTGGGGTCAATCACATGCGAATTCTTGAAAACTTTAATCTCACCTGCATATACACCAGTACATAAATGTATGTTTCCCAATTGATTCCATACGGGGGAGGCGAGGAACATGCTTTACGTACGGACAATTTTTAATACGATGCAAGATTTGACAAACACATTGATCAATATGAAAAAATAAAAAGCAGTCTCGTTTAAAGTTTTTATGGTCTACACACAATGGCCTTGTCAGCAACTACATACGAGGGGCATTTCAAAAGTCCTGAGAACTGTTTAATAAAAAATTAACCGTTTCACGGAAATTATTGAGTGTGATATCATTGGAAAGATCAGAAAAATATACACATATTGTGACGTCACATTATAATTTTTATGACGTAATATCTCCGAAATGACGTCAGAATATAGAATGTTTAGCATACTGAAAAGTCGCGTTTTTATCCACGTGAGACAATTTTAAAAGTGCTGCCAAAGGCTTATTTGAAAAAATATTTCAAAGAAAACTTTCACTTGCAAAGAAGTAGAGTAGGACTGTGGTACCATTTATCAAGAATTCCATATTTCATTGTATGGTTTGTTTACTAGCACGGTTTATATCCAGTTATGCTAGCATAGACATTCATTTAAGATTACTATTTACATGCATGGTACGGCTGGATTTTCGGCCTTTTATATAGCTCTCCATTGTATGAAATAAAATATGTTCTGTATAAAACTAAAGTATATTAATGTAGTTTTCAACAAATATATTTTGATTAACAATACTCTTACCGTTTACAAATAAAATATACAAATGCCTTGCCCCTGACTTGTTTCTGTGCGTATTTTTTTCTTATTAATTCAACTTCGACGCCCCAGAACTCACTACTGCTTTTGAATTTTGACTCCAAAAAAGATTTATAAGTTACACAAACATGTAAAATCTTATTTATTTTCCATGAATTAAAATTCGCGAATATGTGGAGGTACGGTGGGGTTACAACTGCGCCCGCGCCATTTTGGATTTTACGAGAAAATATGGCGCACACTAAACTTAACTTCTCTTGAGCCTTCATCGATCCCACAAATCTGGTTAAAACACCTGGCGAATTGATGCCATCAAATTTTGTAACACGATCGTCTATTTTTCTTTGATTGTCAACTTTGCCTTTTTCTCACAATGAGGTCTGTTTTATGCAATATTTTGAGCGAGATTCGATAAAAACATGCGACATTTGACAATCGCTTAAGCCATTTCAGAACAAGAAGATTTCCGAAATAGAACACCACATGATAGATTGGAGTCTATGTAAACATTCCACCGACTGGCATTTGCGTCCGATAGCTTGCGCCAGAGTAATGAGCAAAAGTTGTTTTTAAAATTTTAATTTGATCAAATTGCGTCTTTTGTTACGTCATTTTTATGGCCAGTATCGTAAACATGCGGACGTATGACGTCATTTTTGGAGTTATTACGTCATAAAAATTATAAAGTGGCGTCACAACATGTGTATATTTTTCTGATCTTTCAAAAGATTTCAAACTCAATAGTTTCCGTAAAACGGCTAACTTTTTATTAAACAGTTCTCAGAACTTTTGAAATTCCCCTCGTACAGTCACATTTTCATTTGGAACATTATTTTCACAATGAAGTCTACGGATTTTTCTGTTTGTCCAATTCTCTCTCTCTCTCTCTCTCTCTCTCTCTCTCTCTCTCTCTCTCTCTCTCTCTCTCTCTCTCTCTGGGCGTGTCTTACTACTATGAATGACAGTATGAGAAATGTACAATTTTCCTGAAGTGGACACCTGGAAAAAAAATAAGTATTGTTCCAAGTTTTTGTCAAGTAGGTCAATTTAATTAAAGTTTTAAAATTGAATCATACATCTGTAACTATTTTTAATTATTTTTATTCTACAAAAAAAGAGAAAAAAAATTGAACACGTATTGGACTTTTAAAAAGTCATTGTACAGGTATTTTTAACACCGATTTAATTTCAAAACTTCATCTTACTAATAACAATATAATATCCAATACTAGTCTTATACTGACATACCGGGGTATTTTCTATTTATCAATAAAAACCTGCATTATGACTACTTTATGCAGATATTTATCGATATATAGAAAATATGTCAGAAAGACACTTCCATATTTTCTATGAAACATGTATACGTATATATATTGCTGATTTTGTTTATTGTCTCATCAAATATTTTATGACACGAATTCTCTGATTAATCAGATATTACTTATATGTATACTAACACCGAATTCAATATAAGTCAATAAAGAACTTATTTTTTCTTAAATCAAAAGAATAATGAAAATAAAAATTAATAGCAATTTAACATAAATACAGAAAATAAAATTTTACTGTGTTCTGATTTTTACATTAAATATAAGGGGCCAGAATAGGCTGTTACCATACCTTTCGAAAAAAAAGGTTTTTTCCCCAATATTTGTTTTCTTTTTTTTTAAATCAAAATTAAGAGATGTTATATGTTAATAAATAATTGAAGTGTGAAAAAATAGACTCTTGAAAAAATTTACTTTTTGAGAAAAAAGTGTGCAACTTCTATACCTTCCTCATGAAGTAGCAATTCGTATACCTCTTGATCAGAATATTAATTCTGTTTTTTTTTTTATCACAGTTGGTACTAATACTTTAATAAGGATTTCTTTGACAATAGTACTCAAAAGGTTAATTTTATCTAAGTTATCCTTCTTTGTTTGGCTCTACTCAATGTGTATCAATTTAAAAAAAAAATCGATTTCTTGTGACTATTTGTTACATGTACTACAGGAGATTACTAAAATTAAATATAAAATATAATAATTAAATGAATTCATTTACAAAAAAAAAAAAACTTCCTAAAATACTGTTATAGGATGATACTATAAAATGAAAATACAAATGTATCTATGAAATAAATTCGATTCATATATATTTTCTATTTGAGGAGGAAAAAACACCTAAAAATGAGGGGGCATCTAAGCAATGACTTGTCATTGTTCTAAAGTAGTACGTAAAACAATTCCATTTTCTTTATTAATCATACAAGTATATCTATTACTTCTTTTTGTCAGAACATGATGAAAATACACCTCTTTGCCGCCATTTTACTTGGAATTGTCGTCTGCTCCGCCATCGCTGCTAACCTCGATGACGTCAGCTGCATGGCCCCGGATGGTACGAAAGTCCGACCCGGGGAAACGAAGTTTGTAAATCCGTGTATGTTCTGTACCTGTATGGCGGGGGAGAAGGAGGCAGTGTGTGCCCCCATTGATTGTCCCCCTGAAAAATGTGAAAATCGAGTCTATAAAGAAGGAATGTGTTGTCCAGTTTGCCAATAAAACAAGGTGAATGTCGAACTGCATCCGTTTACTTATAATATCTGTGTTTATATCGTTAACGTTTACCTCTCATTAGATATCTTCTCCTACACTACATCTACATTAATTCTAACCAAACCTGGCAAGTTTATTTAATGTTTTTTTTTTTGCAAATGAAGTAATATGCCCTCTTCCATTTATAAAGAAATAAATTTTGACATTACCCCCATAATTTAATTATTGATTTTGAGGTCAAAAGGTCAAGGATAAAGGTGGTAATTATAAATTCGCACATTATGTGTGCAACTATTATTCTTGAGTGATATCTCACGAAGCTTTTGTAACAAAATTTTATATCATAACTAGAGCAAAGCTCGTTGCAAAGCAACGAGTAGGTCTTCCGTCTTGTTTGACCGGAAGTAGCTTTCATTTTTCACAAAAATGAGAAATAAAGCCCAAAAATGCTTTGAATCCTCTAAAGCTATGTTAATTAATGCAAAAATAAGCCATTTTTTGCTACTTCCGGTTTGACCGGAAGTGACGACGACGCACAAAAAATTAATTTTAAAGCTCCCAGAGACATATGTTTCCCAAAAACTTGTCAAAAACGGCAAAAATACGCGTTTCCGACTACTTCCGGTTTGGCAGGAAGTGACGAAGCTGGACGTATTTTGACAAATCCATTAGATTAAGCTTGACATTTTCAGCAACTTTGCTTCTTTGATGTATAGCAAATTCTCAATACTTTTTGAGATATCTGGAAAAAAATTTTGGCCCCTCTACATCCCTTAATTTAGGGGTCAGCCCTTTTTCCGACATATCATTTGAAAGATCTTCTAATTCTGCACAAATTATGTTCTATATATTTTAACAAAATATTTTTAGCTTAGAAGATAAGAAGCAAAATATGAGTAATTTTTGGTTTTTTTAAGCGTTCTCATTTTTGACCCCTATATAGCGCCATTTTGAATAGAGAAATCGAAAAATAAAAACCGATGTGCACAACTTCAATCCTTCTTTTATCTAAAATCAGTAGAATTTCTGCTCTAGCTTTAGCCGTCTCTGAGCCTTTATCTGGAAACGAAAGCCTATAAATTTTCGTTTAAAGGGAAATAACTCAAAACCGGAAGTGACTTTTTGAAATTTTAGTCAGCATTCTGATAGAGTTTATAAACGTCTATAACCTCTGAAAATTTGAGCGAAATCCGTTGAGAAATGAGTGAGATATGAGGCCTCAAAGTTGCGGTCTAGGAAGCAGAAGAAAAAAAAGAATAATAATCTTTACCAACAGAATCAGTAGAAGGTCTTCCGTTGGAGACGGAAGACCTTAATTCCCAACATTTGGCGTTGCCTGAACCTCTCAAAATGTCCTGTCCCAAACTCAATCCTCAATTGCAGCTTCTCGGGCCTTTCAGATTAGCGGAAAAACAACCGCGAATGTATTACGCAGATGCCATAACAACCCCCCTTTTTATAAACGTTGAAATAAATATTGGAAGACTTCTTATCTGTGGTGCATATACTATTAGTTTAACTTTGAATTGAATTGTAAAGATATTACCATAAATATACAACAGAAGTAACTTTTAAATCCTTCTTTCCTATGTATTTATATTAACAGGAAATGTTCTTTTTTATGCCCCCGTAAACGAAGTTTCGTGGGTATATAGTTTTGGTCGTGTCCGTCCGTCTGTTTGTCTGTCTGTCCGCAAAAACTTTAACCTTGCCCATTACTTTCGATTTAGTGGCGATATGACTTTCATATTTAAAATGTAAATTCCTTGTGACAAGACCTTTCTTTAAGTACCATCAAATTTGATCGTTTGACCTTGACCTTGGAGTTTAAGCCACTTTTACACAAAAAAGCTAAACTTTTACTTTGGCCATATCTTTTAAACAGTAGATACCAGGACATTTATACTTCATAAATGTATTTTTTGTTGAAAGGTCTTTCAATGGATACTAACAAACCTTTGACCTTGACCGTGGAGATTTCCGTACTTTTGAAAAAAAACTTTAACGTTGGCCATAACTTTTGAAGGGTAAGGGATAGGGCTTTCATACTTCACATTATCATGTAATCCTTGTGAGAAGACCTTTCATTTGGTACCAAGAAGTTTGATCCTTTCATACTTTACCTACTTAATCCTTGTGAAAAGACCTTTCATTTGATAGCAAGACCTTTACCACTTTGACCTTTGAATTTGACCTACTTTTTAAATTATAAAATTTTTGACTTTGGCCATAACTTCTGAACGGTTAGGGCTAGGGCTCCCATACTTCATATATGTATTTTTGTGGCAAGACCTTCATTGGATATCAATTACCTTGATTTTTTTACCTTGACCTTAGAGATTTCCATACTTTTGACAAAAAACTTTAACCTTGGCCTATTTTCATATTTCACAATTGTATTTCCAGTGAGAATACCTTTCGTTTGGTGCCAATATATTATTTGCATTTAGGAAAACTTTAACTTTCACTATGTTGCAATATGGGGGCATCATGCAGTGTTTCACAAACAAATCTTGTTTCATTAAGGAAACCATTACATGAAATTTTCATTAGATGAAAAACTGAATTAGCTTGTTCTTTTTTACTCTTAAGTATTATACAATACAGTTAACAATTCATATGATTCTATGAGATTTTTTTCTTTCTTTGCAGATTCTTTCCAATAATGAAACAGTACAAAAACAAAACAATATCATGTGTGGTCTACAAAACTTTTTTTTCACATTCATCTTCTCTTTATTAAATCATGTATAAAAAAAGTCAAAAGTTCATTTTCAATAAAAATATTTATTTTCTGTTCTATACATTTTCATTTACTCAAACAAAACACCCGCTACAGACAACAGAAGTAATATACTGTACGCTTCACTGTTATAAAACTGACAGACTCTGTTTACAATGTAAAACTGTGTCAGCTATATACATAGATAAACACAATTCTTAATTCAAAGATTGATTTATATTTAAACTTTTAAAATATTCTTCTAAAATGAAGACTGCCTTTAAAATCATTAAGTTTCATCTTGGTCAAGAATATTTTAAGAATTAACAAAAGTCAGCTTGTGTAAAAGTTAAAACTATGAACACTATATAAACCCATAATAATTCAGCATACACATTATGACACTTTTACACCATGCATTAATCTTTGGTAGTAAGCGAATATACTTGTTGTATTAACTGCATCATTGCATGTGACTGAATAAATGATAATTTAAGTACATGTTTCGAAAGACATAATATCACAAACAAAAATTGACCATTATTCTCTGAGACCCTTAACAGATCTTAAGTGCATACAGTGTATATAGAAAGGCAATGAAAGTATTTCGAAGGGAAAATATATGCTGAATAATTTTTGCAAAATTTAGTCTACTTTAACATTAATTTCAAAGTGAATAATACTGTATCTCAAATTTAAAAGCACACAAAGTGCTTAATTTAGGGGGAACATCACATATATAACATTTTATTTAGTCCAAAGATTCAAACATTACTTAGCCCTTTCGTTATATATTTGACAGATTTAATTAAACCTGGTACATGGAAGAATTCATCACATTTTTGCTTTTCCACTGTTATTTTTTAACCACCTTCTAGTGTAAAGAGGAATATTCACATTTATTTCACTGTCACTTATGTTTCCGTTTGTATGCGCATGCGTCTTCAAGCGTTCAAATGACGGGGATGTCAGGGTCGGTAACTTGTACACGTCATGGTCACTTTTTGACAACAGACGGGTTGTATCTTCTTGCTGATCACTTTGGTGTATCGTGTCACTGCGTGATCGTCTGATTGTCTGTGGACTGGGTAAAAATAGTCCATGTGGACAATGATTTTCTAAAGGTTTAAACGTGGATAGCCTCTGACACTGTGAACACTCACCGTCCCCATTGTGTTTTTCAACATCATCAGGGGCCTCTGACAGAAGTATCTCGATATTTGGTGCGCTAGCATTAGACTTCTCTAGAGAGTTTCTATCGGATTTCAAATCCTCCTCCGATATAGAGCGACACATAGCAGCAGACCCATTTTGTTTTACTTGACTTATGTCTACTCTTTCAGAGTTACTTTCATAAAGTATATTCAGATTCGGTTGTCTTGTTAGTGGAGGACGGGTTCCATTTTTATATTTTTCAGAGGAAGGAGATGTACTTGGAAGAAAAACGTCATCTAAATCCCCGGATGTGTTTCTTCTGCGCACATCCTCGCGCATTGAAATAATTTTGCCATTTTTGACTAAAATAACAGATCCATCTCTTTTGATGATAGAACTCCCTTTGGCTGTTTTGCCTGTTAGTTTGCGAAGCAGTTTGTGTGTAGAAGAGTCCTGAGTTTTATGGACCTTATTTAGGCTATGTAAAGAATGGTGAGATAAAGAATCGTCCGATCCCATCCTTGACCCGCGATGTGACCCCCTCATTGAGTTGATAAAAAGTGAGATCCGCCTACGAGGGCCTGGGGAACTATCATGAATTGTATCTGAAATTCATAAAAATAAAATTACTTGATAAATTATGTAAAAAAGATTTTTTAACATCACTGAAAGGAAATATTATGAGTCATGAACAAGCAAAATGTCGTCACAAAAGTTTTACATAATGAGTCATAAACGATCAGAATGACGTCACATTATTTTAATTCTACATTTCAACATTTCAAATATAAGCATCTTTACAATATCCAACAGATAAATAAACATTTTGAGCAAATTATCATTCAAAATTGATCACATTATTATAATATTTTACTTAAAGTTTCATTTCCTTGAGACAAAACAAAAAGATACAAAATGTCTAGCAGCTAAAATAAAAATTTATTTGCTACATTTAATTATCTTTATACATTGCATTGTTTTACAAGAACTAGCAATAATGCATCAGAGTTAACGTTAGACAATCAATGATTCTTTATGTTGTCGGATAGCAAACCCAAATCTTTCTTAGTTACAGTTTTTCTTTCGTTTATTCTTCTAAGTTACTTATTGTTTTTTTTATTTTCATCGTCCCTGCCAACACTGATGCATTAGTTTTAAGGGAGACTAAATCTATTTTCACCATTCATTCACATGCACGGGGGTTGAGTTAACTAACAATTTGGGAAAATGTACGAAATTTACATATCTACTGCACATAAAATAAAATGTAATTACAAGAGTACGAGTATTTTCTGTATGGGTTAATGTCATGCTTTCGATTTCAAGAGTATGTTTGGATATAATCAAATGATTATTTCCTTTAAAGTATACACAATTTTATCATAAGGACACTTTATAAATGAATATACATGTACAGTGTAATACGGTTATACATACAAATATTCTTTTTCCCCTTTTCTGAATTTCGTTATCATTAAAATACTGATTCTTGCATATGATATTTTTGGCAAACCCTGAGATTATTTCAGAGGATGACTATTCTATATTATTGTCAACAGAAAGAGATAAAAATAGAATCGTGCAATTTTTACAAAACAATTTTTGATGCACAAAGAAATTTTAGAGTTATCTTTCTTTGCAAACAAATTTGTAGCAAACAGCTTGTAATAGTGACGTCATGTTGACAGATGAAATGCAAAAAAGGGGTTATATAAGGAAAATTAAGAATATAGATATTCTTTATATGTAATTATTAAAAAAAGGTGAAATGTTGCGTTTCTTGAGGAATGAATGACAGTCTGTGATAACAAGGTGTTTGCATTAAACACATTCATCATAAACGAGTTTTACTGTATTTTGAAGTTATACCAAATTCTTCAGTAGAATTTATATCAAAGATTACATGAAATACAAGAGAAAGAACTTCGAAGATCAGTTTCATGCTATTATATAACCTTTTCAGTATTTTTAATATGTAGGATTATACGTTGGTTTGGTGGTTTGTATTTGTATAAATCTGAGCTATTTTTGGGTGGGTGGGTTCTCTGATTGCAACTGACGTGAACATTGTACGTATATGTATTAAATATAAATCAATGTATCTGACCTCCTTTTAAAAAAAAAGGATTGCTTCAGATAGAAAAGTCCTATTACCAATCAAATGCTTTTCTCCATTTCAATATCGTATTCGAAATTCTTAATCATTCAAGAATTTTAAATCATGGGAAATCAAAATGTTCAATTTCGCAGATTACTTTCAATTTCATTCTCTAGGAAAAATTCAAGATGATTGGATGTTGACAGTGCACACTAAATGAAAAGAAACCACCAAAGCAAGGCTTATCCCGGATACCTGTTAGTCGTTTAAATGGTTGGCTATGTTCCTGATTGTATAATACTTCAATCCTGTCTGTTAAAGTGAAACCCAAAACAATTAATTTTTGCTTTAAAACAATGTCTCTATAAGATATACGATCAAAATCTAGATATTGGGATGGAAATTTGCAAGGATTGAAATGTATCATTTCACATATTGTAAAATAATATGCATGTCCAAACTGAAACTAAAACGTCTAACTATCAATTATTTAGTTTACACTACAATGTACATGTATTAATCTCATTTTCATAACATATCATTTTATGTCTATACCAGTTTATATATATTGATACAGTGTATATATTCATACATTCACACGTAAATAATAACATGTATTAATTGTACAAACATTAATCTTAGTTAACAAGACGCTTGATACAACCAACATGGCCGAAGAGTGATGTAGGTTTAGTACGTTAATGTGTGAGACAATTAGAAGTAACGGCTAATAATGTTTTAACATTCACATGTAAACAACATGCAATTTTTGTCATCACTCTGAACTGAACCTTGAGTAATATACTGACAACATATGGCGTGGTATCTCATTCATACAATAAACATTATATATTCATTGTTAATCAATAATACTGCGAATCCCCAAATATTTTTTTAAATTGTTATGATTGGTTAACAACTCCTATGAAATATAACCACAACCATGATACATAAATAATTCTCTCAATACATACACATGAATAATTTGGGAATAATCTGTCCTATAAAATGGAAAATTTTATAGAAAGATGAAAGAAAAATATATATTTTATGCTGTTTTCAAAATAACATACGGTACATCCTTAAATCCATAACCTACAGAGGACTGACCCTATAAATGATTGGAATGTAATCATTATGAACATGCATAGGATTGAAATGTAATGCACCTTTCATGCTTCGAAATGCATCATTAAAACTGCAAGCTTTTATCAGACTCCAAATACTTTATAAAACATGCTTCTATAAGCGGCTTTGTGTGCAACATGTTTTGCTCGATTTTTTGCATGCCTGTCTGTAGACAATTTTTTTCCATTCTCTCTTCAATACTTTCAATTTTTGTAATAAGTGTCTGAGATGAATGCTAGATATAACAGATAAAACATTTTATTTATAATTGATTTATTTAATAAAATTACTTAAACAAGGGTTTTAAATTTTCAAGCAAATATATGCAGCTTGTTGTTAACTAAAATCAACAACAATCTACTAACTGACTTAAGTTTACGACGATGAACCATCGAAGCTGATTGGTTGCATTAAAGGCGTGTACAATACATAACAAAGATAACCATTGGTTAGGATACTTTACACTTGGCATTTTAGACTGTAGACCATCTCAAGCGATTTTGCCTTTGTTAAAGCGAAACGACGTCTTTCCTCTGTTTATGAAGAACAAGAAGCTATCATTTGAAATTGTTTTTTTCTTAATTGTAAGCATAACGTAAGAAAATCACTTTCTCCGCATCAACTGATAACCAGTGATGGGATAATTTCGTTGACTGCAGCAGAAAGATTGAAATTTAACACCAGTAACCTTAGATGATAGAATATTAACCATTTCTTTCCATATGACGCCAGACTGATTGAGTTTACTAAAGACCGAAATGTAATCACCCAACATCTATATTAATAAAAATAGCATTAGTCACCATCTTCAAAGGGAGGGAAAGCCGCAGTGTTTGTCTCATGTCATGTATGATGTAACATAATTTAGATTCCATCTGCAATGATTATTTTACAAACAAGAGACATCAGTCTATCACTGCTAAGCTTATGGCTTTGGAAAAACCTTGTTTTTGCAGGGATTGGTAAAATAAAAGTACCTTCGGTATAAGAACTAAGGAGTTTCTGAGTTTTTTTAATTAGCTTTTGCAAATGAATTCCTTCTACTGAAAAAATTCACTGCTAAGAGCAGTTTAAGCTATGAGCACAGGAGAAACTAAAAAAAATCACTGAGTTGAATGCAGACTGATATATCTCAATACATGCCTTATTTTCTAAAACAGTGTATAATAACTTTAGCTATGAAACTGGAAATAGGCAGAAAAAAATTAGCAAAAAATTCTAAAAACAAACTAGGAGCAATAAATTACTATAACTCAAAAACCAATATCAAAAACACTTTGCAAACAGAATAAAAAGTGATTCCAAAGTCAGTGAGTGAAAACGGGTGGTGAGGTGCAAGTCAAATATTACCAGTTTTTTCTGACCGCTAATAAGCGTTCAGGGATGTTCCCCATACTTTCTACTTTGGCCAAAACACGTATCCGTGGTCCTAAAGGCCCTGTTGGAACAAGGTTAAAGGTGATTCACAGAACATGCGCTTTAAACGCGTCTAAAAAAGATGGCGGCTTGATGTGTGCTAACGAACTAAGATCTACAAACAAGGGCGTGATGTCTTAACCTTTGCTAACTCTATGGCTGTCTGTGAAATCAAATTATGTATAAACTGCGAGAGACCACCAACTAGATCGTTTTTACAGCAAGATATTTTGAACTCTTTCTTTTAGTAGACTTTTACGACGGCGTATTCGTGCCATTTAAACAATGTAGAAATATTTTTTTAACGATTTACTAGATCGTTTTTACAGCAAGATATTCTGAACTCTTTCTTTTAGTAGACTTTCGTTTAAAGCTTCATATTAATCAGTGTCGCTGCAACAGTTAACGTTGTTTTTGCTTTACCAGCTCTAAAAATCTTCATGAATTAGTAGAGGATGGAGTTTGAAACCGAACTTCTGTGATTTTTTTTTATCGTGGATGATATGCATTCCAGTTGTTTTACAAAGACGATGGGGTTTTACAGGTAAAATTCAACATATGACCTCAACCGCAATGCAAAAATCGTGTACGTGTTGTACATGTACCTTTATATATACAAAACAGGCACCATTTATATAATGTATATATCCAAACGTATTAAACACACCGAGATAAAAAAAAGAAAGAAAAATATTTTAGCAGCATATTGCCAACTTTAGGTTCACCAACCTATGGAGAAATTTACTCACAGAATGTCAAGATGATAATCGGAGAATGTTTTATTTTTCCGTCCCTTTACCCATTCGCAAAGAAAAAATTAACTTGAAACGCAAGAATTTGGTGAAACATGCCAGATTACGTAAACATTGTGCAGTGATCTTCCTAATAGTTTAGAATTCTGATAAAATAGATCTAAACAAAAACCCGCAAACCAACCTAAACATGCTCTATATAGTCAAATTGTAGATCTGCCCTTATCATATATCTACCGGTAAATCCACAGCATAAATTGAAGACAAAATAATCCATCATCCTTCTTTGCATGCAAAAAGATTGCGATTAATTTTGAAAATTCAAAATACAATGTATTATTATAGTTTTGTTTCAAGACAAGAAGTACACATACGTGTGCAGTGCATATATTTAACCTTGAATTCGACAGACATTTCTCTATCAACAAAAGTCATTCTTTTTTTAACATGCTTACAATTACCACAAGTTACGAAATTTTCTGATCATGAGTGAGGTCAAAGGACGATCTTTCCTGGATTTGATAACGAGCGCCACCTAGCGGTGTGCTTGATTTGGACCTTGTCCGTACCACCACCGTTCCCATTGGTCCTTTAATATAAATATAGACATGAAAATATACTGTGAAATCTGGGGCCGGAGGAGCAGTCCTTAAATATAAATATAGACCTGAAAATATACTGTGAAATCTGGGGGCGGGGGAGCAGTCCTTAAATATAAACAAATAGGTAAAAAATATACTGTGAAACCTGGGGGGGGGGGGGGGGGGAGCAGTCCTTATATATAAATATAGACCTGAAAATATACTGTGAAATCTGGGGGCGGGGGAGGAGTCCTTAAATATAAATATAGACCTGCAAATATACTGTGAAATCTGGGGGCAGGAGCAGTTGATATAGATTTGATATATATTTTTTTAAAATAAGTTCTAAAAAATTAGTCATACATTTTTATCGTAACATGATACGTTGCACATTCCGGAATCGAAATTTTGACACTATTGTTGCATTTGAAAATATCCTCTCTCGTTTTTTTTCTCATTTATATAAACAGACATTCACTAGTATTTAATCATCATTTTAATAAATATACATTTATTCATATATTCCTCTTCATCATCTTAAGTGTGCATGTATAGTGGCCGAGTGATACATGTATCTTATTTTTATAGATTTAAATATTAGTAAAATAAAAAGGTGAATAAATCAAGTCGATCATAATAAATAAAGTAGAAATTTAAAATTTGCAAAGCATCAGACATAATTTTTAAACCTTGTAAATTATAATCCCTTTGACAAACAAACAAAATAAATAAACACACCCAAAAAACTCATAATATAAATCCTACTTCCATTAATAAAACTGCCCCAACACCTCATTAGATTCAAAGCAACTATGAGTAAGTTGTGCAACGTCTACGGAACAATTAAAAAAGTAGTTACCCTGTATTTCAAAGCAGTCTAAGGTATGAAAAAAAGATGAAATCCTGTAATGTTTGGCAAAACTCAAATACCATTAAAATCGACGACAATAAAAATGTTACAATTATTTGGAATGTTGGACAATACGGCACTACCTTTAATTAACGGTTGATGTATTATCAACAAATAAATACTACCGGTCAACTAAACAAACTAGATTTATCTCATCTATTACGGTATCAAAAGAGGGTAAAATATCCCTGACGACAACGCATCTCAAATCATCGATTTGTCTCCCTTGGGCAAAGCGTAAAAACCTCAATGTTGATATTAATTTCACGAAATAATGAATTATCAATCCCGGTTAACCGAGGAGAGGAAATATGCCTGATTGTTCAAACAGTGGTGATAGAGAGAGGTTAGGTTTGTAAACGATTTTTTGAATTACTTCTATGAGATTTGACGTAGATTTTTTGGTACCTTAAAAGATGTATAGCCAAGGGACATCAATCCGAGTTTTTATGCTTTTTTCTGCATGGTTGGGTTCTATTGGTCCTTTGGGTGTTAAAATTAGGTAACAAATCAACAAGGAATGCATATCAGCACTACATATACAATGTTTTAATGACATGGTCATTTAAAGCAACCTTCCGTATAAAAAAGTCCTGAATTGTTCACTCAGCCCAAAATTACACACGTCAGAACAAAATGGAACAAGACTTACGAGAGACAGTTATTCTGCAAAAAAGTGTGGATGTTTTAATTCTCTGACAATGGCCTTGTTATAAGACGTCTTTTTATTTTTATTTCATTTTTTTAATCATTCTGCCTCATTTTCTGTCATTGAATTCCTGATAAGGATATGACAATAGATTCTGGTTTTTAAAAAGGTTCACAGCAGACGGCTATATCAAAAAAATCAACATGGCGTCGTCATCTTTCTGAAATTGACATCCATGACGTCAAGTATGAGGACAAATCTAATTTTGATCTATAGCATATATAATTTTTCTCATATAAAACAAGCAGGTGACAAATTTAGAACCACGATATAACCAGGAAATATTGGAATCAGGGGTGAGTTGTGTTTCCTTTTGTAAGGTCAAGCATGGCGTGAACTATTTGCACAATAGACACCCGATACCAACTTCTGGAAATATCCGGAGGTCCCTGCTTATGTCCGGTTCAAAGACGCATTGTTTATATATTTCTATTGGAAAATGGTCATTGGTGGTTATATCTCCATCTTTTTCACAGAATGATTGCAAAGTCCTTTTGTTTCTTTCAGTAAGCGATGTGTAGAATTTTCATTAACTTGGCCCTTTGGTCTCACTAAAACCGCATTTATTGCATTGCATTCGTAGTAAATCCTTCTTAATTGCAATGCCATATCGTAAATAAATGTATTCCTGACATTACTCTTATTTACTCTTCTAATAGACATGGATAAAAAGTTCGCCATAATGCCTTAGTTAATGTTGTAAAGTTTGGTAATATGTTTACTTGCTGGAATTGACTTCAGCAGCTTAATGCATTCTCACACCATTAATTTATCTGATCTATCCTTGCTTCTCTCTCTAGATGTCTTAATTTGAAAGGATTATAAATTGTATAATGGTCTGACACCTGAAAGATCCAGAGAACCGCGAATTTCACCAAATTAATTTATTTCAACTCATTAATTTAATTTAATGTATACAGCATTATGAACCCTATTCATTAGATATAAAAATACCAAAAAGGTCGAATGTAGTGCAGCTTTGGTCGATAATCTATATTTGAAAGGGATAGCGTAGCTATTACGAGATAGGCATGCATATTGCATGAGGATATTAATGGAACAAGTTCAGAATCTTCGATATTTCCAACCTATAATGACACTGAAAGGTTTGTCCTGACACTGAATAATGAATATACAACATTATTTATCAATTTTATATTGTGTGTGATGTGCTCAAAATATTTGCGTTTCTTTTGGATCGGATTCTCTTTTCCCTTTGTATAATAATAGCTCTTGGTTTTGTTTGTTAGAGAGGTCCTGGAACTTCCTCCACAAGTTTGTTTCATACATCATTCAAAGAATTCGGAATATAAATTATATGTTTTTCACGGAATCCATCGAGCTAGTACTGCACAAGCTATCAAATCCTGCTTTATTAGAAGATTTTTTGACAAGCTTAAAGCTAAAAAATTCTAAAACAGAATCCAATTAGAACATTGCACACATTTACACAAACTCGGGAGCAATTTATAACATTAATTTTACTTTTAAAACTTAACATGCATGACGTTCGAAACAAAACAAGCTTTGAACATTCTTACGATGATAAAACTAAAAGCATAAACTAAAATGTATTCACCATTTAAAAGAAAATATTGTAGCAGAAAAAAAGTTTGTTTCATTCTACAAACACGAGAACTTCGATCGAACTGAACAAAAAAACCACCTCAGCAACACTCGAAAACACGTGATCATAGCAACTGACCGCATTCTATAAATAGACACCAATGAAAAGACGAGACTGACGAGGCCGGGGAATTTGACTTACCCCCACTAAACGAAAGCAAGATGGGCGTTTGAAACATCCTTGCGGCTTTGAATTCCACCTTGAGATAATTTTAAAGTTTTCAAATGATCGGTCGTTTGAGAGAAAGAGAGAGACATACAGATGGACAGAAAAGATGGGTATATATATTTGCATGATATGAAACAACAAAAACACACTGAAAAGAAGAAAAATGTCATAAATATACACAGAGTAATATACTGTCATGTGGAATATATATTTCAAGCTAACATTTAAAACACTGGCTTCAAAGAACAATGTGACAAAATTGTATATATAAAATCTGTATGTCGAACACGAAGAGAAACATTGAAGACAATTTCATGACGTCAAAGGTCAATACATACCGTCACTAACGACGTAGGATGGCTCCTGGCAGAGGATTTCCTTGTATCCCTCCCTAAAGGAAGGGCTTCTCCAGGCGTAGATGATTGGATTACAAGCACTGTTCATGTAGCCTGCGCAGTACGCCTAAAATGAGAATTAAATAGTATTCACCTTATGCAGGTGCCTATCAGGGGTGAAGCATACAGGGACAGCATGGGACAGGGTGATTAATTATATACAACAGATCCATTTGAAATATTAAATATGATTTTTTTTTAGACGTTAGTAAATAGCTTATGTCTAAAAAAAATAGCTATTATTCTACTAAAGAAATACCACTTTCTATGTCATGTACAAAATTAATTTGAGTTTCGTTAATTTTACACAGAGCTTTTCTTTTTCATGAATATATTGTTATTGGAAGCATTGCTTATACAGGCTGGCCTATTTTTGGTGATCAAAATGAAATGATGGCATATAGAACACAATAAAAACTAGAATTGTCCAAACGGGACAAAATACCCCCCGCTGGGTTTTTCAGAAGTAAGTTTTTCCATAATAAAGATAGTATCACACATGAATTATGAAATTTTTCTTCCAGTGACCTTGAATATCATATTTGAAGGTCATGACATACCCTTGGGTCATTTTTGTGAAATAGAACTCTTCTTTTCCATGAGGTCAAACTATGTTTTTCTTATTGTTAAGTTCCCCAAATGACCTTGGGAATCATTGCACACACCCTGCATGGGACAATCTTTGTGTGGATACACTCCTTTTACCAAGTGTGCATTTTTGGTAATCAAAATGAAATGATGCCATATATAGAACATGATAAATATCCAAACAACTACTGGTGTGATCTTTTATATGGCAATTAGAACCAAGATTATTATTTTTCATTGTGCCTGGTTTCTGTAGTAATCATGAATTGCCATTTTCCTCTTTCATACACTTTAACCACTTACTACTGCATTAGCCCATGCTGGAATAGTCTTTTTATCCTCGACAAATGTGACGTAATTGGCATATACACAGTATGGAAACCAACACACGACGAAACACGCCAAAACGATAAACAGAGTAATGGTAACTCTCCTCTGTTGGGAGAAAATCTGTTTCCGGTCCATGGCCGAATTCTCATCCATTCTCTGCATATGTTCCTTTATTTCTTGAAATATTCTTATATAACAAAACAACATAATTCCTAAAGGAAGATAAAGGTTCGATGTCTGTATAATAAAATGAAATATAATGGACTGAATCGTATTTCCGGGATAAGCCGGTCCGCACTGCATGGTTTTCTCCTTATATTCATAATGACTTAGAATAAATGTTGTCAAGGCAGCACATATGATTCCCCATAGCCATGCTGCCATAATCATAATTAATATCTTACACTTAGTTATACGAATTAATGGACGGGTGATAGATAAATACTTGTGTATACTGATGTACATCAGCGTTTGTAAAGATGTCAAAAAGCAGACGGCATTTAAAAAACTATTTAAGAAACACAATGCATCTCCAAGAATCCAGTCATGTGCTATTAATGTTGTCAGTGAAAATGGCGCCAAAAGAATACCAATCAAAAAATCCGCTATGGCCAAGTTCACTATAAACATATTTGTTCTTGTCCGCATTCCCCTGTGTCTCCATACAACTGCTATCACCATGAAATTTCCCACAATAGCAAAAATCATGGATATCGACAACCATGTTCCGAATACAATAGTTTCTAGGAGACTCCAGCTTGTGTGAGCACTGTTATTAACTTCCGGTCCTGAAGTCGCGTTCGAAACGTTATTTGGAATATCCTCCAGTGAAAATGAATGGCTAACCGGAAATGCATCGTTAGGTCGGTGTCCTGTATTGTTGTAGAAAAGATGGTCAAATAAAGACGTTGATGAGTTTACAATCCAGGAACTTGTTGTCATCTTTTTTCTGTTCCAAAGTTCACTCCATCTGTGAAAATAAAAACAGAAATAATATTTTAAGACACATGATTAAGAATTTCTATTATTCAATTCTAAATAAATAATTACATTTATGTAACAATTTTAATTACTTATCGTATAAAAAGTCTACGTGAAAAATCTGGAACATTTGGCATTTTCTCAAACACTAAAACGTATATAATTTATTTCCATAATCCATTTTTTGCATTTCTATGTCAAGAATTGCGATTAAAGGCTGCATTATGTCCTGTTTCTGCAAAATCAATTTCACCAGAGACAGAATTATACATCATGATAGTACATATAAATGTATATCTTTAATCCATATTAAAGGTGGTATATTTCCATCCCTTGCATTAATATTAATTTTGGTAAGTCTGTCTGTCTGTACTTCTTAAAGTCAAAAGAATATTATCATTACGTTTTCTGTGAGCTTCTTTTGATGAAATTTTATATCACAACTCCTTACATGTATGTCATAAAAAAAACACTACTGATTTTGGGGTACAAAAAGTCAAGGTCAAGTAGAAACGTATCTTGCTTTAAATTTTTAAAATGTCCATGCTATGTTCTATTTTTCACGTTTTGCAATGATGAAATATTATATCTTTAGTCAATAGGACATAATAAATAACTCCAATTGATTTTGAGGACACAGACAAAAGTGAGTAAATTTTATATTACATGCATGCATGGTTGTAAGATGATAACAGTAGTTCTCAATAAGCTTTTTCAATGAAACAAGATCAAATTCCTTTCAGATAAAAAGGGCCCCTATTGACTTCAAGGACAAAAACTTAAAGATCAAGGTTACCTTTTTTGTATTTCTCTATCTGCAATTTTTTGAGCTTTTTTTTTTGGTTTGTTTGAGAAAACATTTTTTACATTCTTGCAATTGCATTCGGCTTTATATTGAATATCGATGTATTTGCAAGAAACAACTCCAATAACCTAAAATACTGCTGTTTTCAATAAGCTGCAGAATTGTTGCGTTATTGCTTTATATTATGGTCTAAGACTAAGATATAAAACCATAACGCTACAGTTCTGCAGCAAGTTTTCAATGAACATGATCTATCTTTCACAAATAGCTATCTCTTTTGACTTAACAAAAATCAAATCTATATTGTGGATTTTCCTGAGGTTTCAATTTTCTAATCTGAGAAATTTCAATAATCAACAGACTTCTGAAATATCTTACCAAAAGTATTATTAGACCTTAATTACAAAACAATAAGAATATAAATACCTATAATTAAAAAAAAACTTCCCTGCGACTGTGTACATGTACTTCCTCAACTCAAATCACTCAAATGGTATGTCGATGAAAACTAATTCCACATGTTTCAGACAAATTTATCACTCAAAACCAGATAAAAAATATTTCCTTCATCAAAACCAAATAAGCAACCTCGTATCAAACACCAATATCAAAAATGTCAGCATTTCCCACATTTTCCTAAATTAGAATGGAGATACATAAAAAGATGCAATATCATGTCATCTTTTTTTATGTCAATAATCCGAATTCCCAACCAGTATTGAAGTGACGTATTAAAGGAGCTTTTACGCTGCTTGATAATTGAAAATTAATTCCAACCTCCAGAGAAAAATGAAATCAACGCGATGTTTTTTCCTCCTATATACCTCCCATTAAAGATAGGACAGAGAGACAATGCACGGCCTGGTTAAAGCAGGGGGGTCGATATATCATCTGCTTATGACAGACTTCCAATGCCCTCCAATATTTTGTCCCCAGACGAGTAATTAAGATTCCAATTATAAAGTAACCACTGTAGCTCAATCTGCTGATCCTTGCTGGACTTTATCTCAGAATTTTCAGTAAGATTGTCAGATTTTCCTCTCAACGAAAGCGACCAATGAAGCAGAACAGTGCTTAGCAGAAGGAGAAATCATGCGAAACGGCGCCCGGCAGGAGAAACGGAAAAAGTAGTAAACTGAAAACAAATACTTATGGCAATAATTGTAACAATCCCACTAGATATTTATTGATGCTGTGTAGTACCATATCCTGCCTATACTTAATCGAAAACTACTGTTCGGTTTTATTACTTACTATAAAAAAAGTAATACTAGAAGTTCGGTGTTTCAAGCATCCGATTATTTTTTTTTTCAAAAAGTTTTTTTTATTGAACTTAAAAAAAATATATGTTGATGGTTCCTTGTGTTTTAAGTGAAATACGTGTACGAGTGCAAGTTTAATAAACCCTTTGAATAACAAGGTTTAAAATGTGTCAAGTGGTTGGATTTTTGTAATAGATTTTCTAGGAAGGTACCTGGCTCGATTCCAAGTCATGACAATTAGTAATAGATTGTTTTGAACTTAATTGTTTCAATCCTTTAATAAAAAAATACAGAAGTTATGTGTCATTCTGATGGGAAGGCACCATTGCAAATATTGTAATTGAGATTTATTGAACTAGAAAAAGATGCCGAATTGATGTTTCTGACATTTTTGTACAATGTACATAGGACGTACACTGTACATTTTCAGAACATGACAGATGACATTAGTACACAATTCTTGCACTTTGGCACAATTCGAATACCCCCAAAGTCTTCAAAATCCTATCGATTTGTCTCCAATGCAAGAAATCATTGATAATTATTGTTCCTTAAAGTAAAATGTCAAAGATTTCAAAACTATATAATTATGTCTAGGTTTTAAGCTGGTCGCAGCTGGAATTCTAACATCAAGTATCTGGGAGTCTTCATTAACAAGGAAAAATGACACAAATAATTCCCCACAATATCATGCTGACGAGCCACGAGAAAGTAAGTCTTTATCTGTACCTCTACAAATAGGTTTGCAAACGTACGTAATGTTTCCGAGCTTAGTGAAAGAGAAAGGCGTTCAATGAAAGTGAGGACATTTTCATATTTCCGCCTCAAGTTCTTAATTAAGTCTCCCCAGTTCTCACCTTAACTCTGTATCGTCTCAGAACATCATGCCCGATTCCTGTAAAGTTTCTCTCTTCTGATCCCGATCATCTGTTTCTTTTTTTCTAAGTCTGCAATGATAAAGAACAGATTTCTCATGGCACTCGGATTCTAACGGCTTTTATCAACTACTCACAATAAAAGTGTACTAATTATGCGCATGTCACAGAAAGTACGAAAAAATACATCAACCGAGATTAAAACAGAAATGAAAAAAAAGTTTATTTTCCTTTTGAGTTCAAACATGGGTGTTCATATTTAAGAACTAAATATTTTTTTTCTTTTGCTTAAGACTTAAAAAGGTACAATCAAATCTTTCACATCCTAATGATAATTACTATGAACCGTGTTAATCACTTTGAAGAAACACAATTATTCTCTTTTCAATTTCAGGCCAGGTGTCAAATTAATGTTTGATGTTCAATATAATAAGGTAAGGGATATTGGATTAGCTTATTGATTAAATCCGGAGTTTTTATATCTTAATCATTAACAAACACACAAATATCTGGTGATGTTTGCCTTCGTTTCTGGGATTCAGTTATCACGGTGTTTAGGTGAACGTTCACCAAAAGTCAAGTACGAGCTTCAAGCTGAAGGTATATTGTATTATCAAGGGCAATGCCAGTCAATCTGCTGACGCAAATGATTGAGTAATGGGAGTTAAAAATAGCTTTCTAAAGATATTTTAGCGCGAACCTGTAGGTAAACACCTCCCCTTTTTTCTTTTTGCTTAAAAATATTTTAAAAACATTGGATATCTTGGAATAACGTGCTGAAAGAATCGTCCAAAAATGAAACAAACGAAATGAAATCTATAAGGTTTACATTGTATTAATTTTTTCTCACGATAGAGGGATACAATATATACCAAAAAAACTTTGCCAATTAGAAAAATATGGCATTACTAAAAATGGAATCAGCTATCAAAGCCTACCTTTCATAACACATGAACAAAGTGGTCAAGCAGCTTGAAATAAACTCAAGAAACTTTCCTTCAAGCCTTTTTTATATCAGATTCTGTGGGAAAGAACCCCAATAAAACGATTTTACGTCAAGCAAATTGCCTAAATTGCACTTTTCTCGCTTGCTTTTTTTTTTCTTAACATTGATTCAGTACCTATCAACATCGCAAAAAACAAGGAATTTGATACTAATTACGAAACACTTTAGCTTCGGTGCTGCTAACACGCAAAGGATTGACCAGTATTGTCCGCTGTTTGAGCTTTTCTGTTAATATAATAGGCTCATATTGCAAAGAAAGTGATTTGTCGGTGACAGTGCGAACACATAAATGGTAAATTACCTCTTGCAATTAAGCACGTACCTTAGAGTGCATCAAAAACATTGAATAATTTAAAATGTGATACATCAAATTTGGTCGTGCAGAAGTTTATTATCTGGGATGAAACTTTTTTTTGCAATAAAATTCTATACTCTTCAAAAGAAGAAACGCATTATTAAAATTTTAGAGACAGATTGAGCAAAAAGATTATTTAGAAAAAATATCTAAATAAATGATAATTTAAAAAAAGACGGTAAGCAATAGGTCTACAATGTACATGTTATAATAACTCAAGAATTTTATAATCATATTACGTTGTAGTTCCATGGCAGGTCATATAAAATCAATATCTGGTATCCCCCCCCCCCCGCCCTCCGGCACCAATGTTCTCCCAAAACGGCATCTAATGGAAGCAAATGAATGTATTTAAAACGTTTAAGAATGCTATCCCATTCAAAATGTAGAACTTTGGTCAGCTGTTGCAGAGTTTGGGGATGCGATTGTCTTTATCAAAAGAAGCTTATAGCCATTTTCGTCCACCTCATACTCGGATTCAAATATGGCAATTTAGATGGACATGGTCGAAACAGGTTGCTGTTGCTTTGAAAGAATGTGATTATCAAACGAACCGTTTATGGCTGTGTATTGTCAAATTGGAGTACATGTATATACGGCTCCAGGATGCTGCAATACTGGATAGGCATGTGCAGGTAAACATCGTTAGAGTACCTATTTCCTTCGAAGTCATTTGAATATGAACCAAACCAGTCTTACTTGTATGCAATACCGTTTTCGATACTATTACACAGCCACCATGAAATCCATCAACCTTCCGGAGGCAGCCTGTAAAACGTTACTTACATTGCTAAATACACTTTGTCACTTAAATCAGACTTTGCGATTTACTTTCTGGACAAGTAGCCAAACCAATTGTTCACCAATGTTGCTGTGACCATACTGTATTGGTATGAGATCTTTGAAGCCGATATTTGTGGTGATGTTGGGTCAGAACAATGGCACAAATAATCCTTTTGGCAATAATTCTTACACACCGATGTCAATTACAAACGGTCTTATTAGATGTTCTGTGCAGTTCAGGAATAACTTGACTGTGTTGAGATGACGTCATTCTGAAACGTTCATAAAGATTACGTAAATCCTGGAAGCGATCCTGTGCTGCTGATGTCGTACGTGGTCTGCCATATTTTTTGGCGGTCATTAGATGTACATGTACCATGCTGCCGTTATGATATGGTTCTACGCGTAGCATTAAAACCTCTTGCAATTATAAACTGTAGACATTGGGACACCAGATTCAAGTTGCCCAGTTTCCTTTTTGGGATACATGTATGCAACATTCAGAATCAACATTTACACAGTGTAAATAGGATCAATTTTCAGATAACACTATAATCAAAATGTCGAGAACCCTAACTTTTGATAGCCCTTTTTGTACATGTAAGAATTCCTTCAAAAACCAACGAAAGAAAGTTGTGACAATTGTTTTTTACCCTTTTGCAAAATCGTGTCTTTTTGTCAGTGGGTTTGTAAAATAGCTGCGGTACAATTAAGAATACTGGTATTGTATTTTATATTGTATTTTTGTTAGTGACATTGAAAAAAGCAATCAATCTGGGTTGAAATGCTTTTTTGCAATAAAATACTACATTGTCATCATAGTAGCTTAATTGTTAGTGACATTCAAATCAGTCATTTATCTAGGACGAAAACCTTTTCCAATAAAATACTACTTTATCTGTTATAAACAGTGACATTCCAATAAGTATTATTAAACTTTTTGCTTTTAAAACTATGGAAGGTGAGGTTTAAAATCTAGATTGAAAAACAAACGTTTTACATGAAACTGAAAACTGCTTCCGATATTATCATCTGGGTTTTAACATATTTTGGTCAATTATCAAAGTGCAGCTACTGTGTATAGCGGTGCAAAGTTTGGATAATCAATTCAAAAAAGTCTTGATGAAATTAGGAAAATAAAAGCTTCATTCTAGAATTTAACAATATATAGTTCAGAAATTAATCCCAAAAATAATAATAATACATGTATGGCGAAACAAAATTGTTCATCACAATGAGATTTTATGTCGATAGACGATACGTTCAATATTTGCACATCGATACTAAAAGTACAGTAGTGAATATCTTTAATTTCACACCATTTAACAACCGTCGTGCAATAAGAAACCTATTCCCTTTTTACACTGCGTTCACAGGGAAATGGATTCCGTCGCCATTAAAGGGAAACTGACAGCTTCCGTTAATCGGGTAGAAAGAGGATGAGCCCTTTTAATATTATTACTGTTATAGTATTTCATTGGTTAAATCGTGCCTCTCTGGCATCCAATAGAATTGAGTAAATCTTTTCGAATAAAATTTTAAAAATTCACATGACACCGCACCACGGAATACCAAATACATTTAATAATTAAATCATATGTTATTTCCTGCAACAAGTAAATTTACATCGCTAAAAACTATTATTTTGATTGTTTACATTCGAGTAAAAGGTCATGTATAAAATACTAGAAATACACATGTTCAGAATCATACAATGTTTCTTTTGTAAACATCCATAGTTAACTCTCCTGGCAAAGACACACCAACGAAACATCGCTCAACCGAGCAATGTCTTTAGATAGATACCGTTTACTAATTCTTGAATATATATTTCCTCACATGGTACAAGACTTTTCAAAATGAGCGACCTTCAGGATGTTTACCAGATATCAACGTCAACCACATGAAACTGCAGTGAATTTCTTCAAAACATTGACAAGGATCGAGAGTTTCAAAAACTCCTTTCCGGTGGCAAAGAGGTCTAATTAGCCAAATCATATTTCTTTAACAAATATTATCTTTCTGTCTAGCATTACCAGAATTGCCGATTCTACACGATAGGAATTTGGCTGCCAAGACCTTTAGGCCAATTCCACCGAGGCCAAAAGTTTAAAATTTTGATTCCATAACCACATGTCAATTAGGAAAAAAGGGAGATTTTTAGGAGGGGGCGATATTGGTTGGTTTGTTTTCTGAGGAAGACAATTTCCAGAAGAGCCTTTACTTTTTGCAGGGGCATGATGGATATCTTCTTGTTTTATAATAATAATTTGACCTTTCTTCAAAATTTCATCAAATTTTAAATACTAAATACAATTTTCATATTGCATTACGATAAGGAACCGTGGATATTTTTCTCTTGTAGTTTTGAATCAGTTTTTAAAGTCTAGAAAGCTTGTGCCTTAATATTTTATAGTGCATAAAAAAGAAGATTTGATAGACACTCCTTCGAGGAAAAACAGTAATGATCAAAATTATGTAACATCATGTTGCCCTGATGACTAATTGAAAGAAGGGGGTACGAATCCAATCCTCCCAAGTTGATTTATTAAATAAAGCATCAACAAAAACAAGTTGCATGTACATGAAACATCTGGGAAAACATACAAAATCTCAGAATCGATTTCGTGATATACAGCATATTGTGTATGATAAGGATATGGTATTGCTCATTTTTATTACTTGAGTTTTGATGTTCAACTATACGGAAGCAATTGTGAAAGTGCGTGAGAGCTTTTAAGTTATTAATCATGCATGGTTTGATCAAAACAATAAGGAAAATGAAAATTTGTTTCCTGTATCAAAATTCTTCCCAAATGTATGACTGCATCAGGTTCAAGGACAGATAGAATATGCGAATTTGCGCTATACGTTAGCGCATTTTATTAACAGTTATACCAAATAATTTGTCTGAAAAGAACTACTAGT